AATCCCGGTTTGAATCCCGTTCTCGACATAAAACATAATTTTTGAGCGGTCAAATCCACTGACTCACAGGTTTGTCAGTGTGATTCCAGCTCCCACAGATGAACGCTGTCGTTGTGTCCTTGGGCAAGACACTTTACCCACCTTTCCCCCAGTGTCCGCGTACACTGGTGTATGAATGGTCACATTTTTATAGAATTTTCCACCTTCAAGACACTCGAAAGCGCTTTACAACAACGAACCACTCATCCACTCGCACTCACACACTCCTACACCAGTGTTTGAAGGCGAGGTGGGTTAAGTGTCTTGCCCGAGGACACAACGACAGCATTCAGCATCTGTGGGCGCTTGAATCACACCAGCTCCACCAACGATGTTGATTCAAACCGCCAACCTTCAGATCGGTGGACAAACGCTCGACCAACTGAGCTGCCGTCGCCCTCGAATGGATGAGTGGTTCCTTGTTGTAAAAGCGCTTTGAGTGTTGTGAACGTGGAAAAGCGCTGTATAAAAACGAGACCATTTACCGTTCCAAAGATATAATATTTTGGTAACACTTTGTTTTAAGGACTACATATTAATATCTAGTTAATAGTAAAATTCACAGTAACTGCTTAATTACATCTTTCTTAGTATTTATAAAGTACTTTCCATGTGTTTTTGTCTAATGTTGTATTTTGCAAGTAGTAAGCCATTCATTATTTTCTTCCCATTAAAGTAGTGAGGGTATTTCTATACATACAATCGACTCTAATTAAGCATTAATAAGTGTTTGTGGTCCCTAAACTAAAGTGTAACCTGTGTTTTCTTTTAAATTGTTAATTACTATGGCAACAGTCCAACCTTTACATATGGTATTAGGTTTTTTTTTTTTTCAGACCAAGAGTTTGTTTTCATCCCTGACAGTTTCGACTTCCTCAGAGTGGTCACAAGATGTTGCTGTGGCGTGTCCGGTCAGCTGATTTAAACAGGTTTTGGCGCCGTCCTTCTACCGGTGGAGGCAGGACGAGAGACGAGATAAACCGGGATGAGGGGGCTTTTTTACTCTCACACACCTGGGGTACTGTCCTGAGGAAGTCGGACCGCAGATGGCGCTGTCGTCCTGCCTCCACCGGTAGGAGGAAAGCACCAAAACTTGTATAAATCAGCTGAACGGACACGTCACAGCAACATCACGTGACCACTCTGAGGAAGATCACAGTGAGCAGACGAAACTGTCGAGTATAAAAACAAACTCTTGGTCTGAAAAAAAGAACCTAATAACATAAATTATCGGAAGACCAAATGAACCTTGCTGGACAGACTTTACATAATTCTGATATTCATGGACACATTTGAGATTTGAAGCTGATTTGACCAGTTCACCGTACTTCATAAACATTCGCATTAACTATCAAACGTCACAAATTACGGCACTTGTAAACATATCAAGTGCCAACTCTTTGCATCGTATAGAACAATGTCATTTCTTGTTCCTGTAGTGACATTTTTCCTCTGCATTTGACCCATCTTTCAAAAGGTGCAGTAACTCTGGCAGGAGCAGTGGCCAGGGGACTCATCTCCAGACCTTGAGCTATAAATCCATGCTCAGGAATAGACTTTTCCCACTATAGGTTTGCGGGACTTCCGGTTAATGCTTTTCTATGATGAAATGTTGGTGGAAATGTCTCACGTATTCTCCACCAGCTTCATAAATCTGCCCCATCACCAAATCTTCAACCAACAAGTTCGATTCTGTCCATAAAGAGTTCATCCACAACTATTAAGGTAAGAAAGACGAAAACGTAAAGGCGAACAATGACTAAATCTGACAGAATATGCCCGTTGTCGACCTTGTTGGTTGAAGATTTGGTGATGGGACAGATTTATGAAGCTGGTAGGAAAATCCGCGAGACAATTCCAGAGATATTTTACCATAGAAAACCATTAACCCAAAGTTGACCCTACATCTCGGCACTTTTGGCCGTTGTTAAAAAGTAGGATGGGTGATTTGTTTTAATTTTATGGGAATAGATTATTTAAATTTGAGACGGTCCAACCACAGCAACAACAAACGTCTCTCAAATACAGAAGACATCTCTCGAAAATTTGTATATAATTCAGGACAAAATCTTTAATTTATTTTAGCGCAGATAACCTTTGTTTCAGCCTAATTTTGTGTTGCTTTTAATCTAAGTAAGCATTTGTTTAGACAGAAATTATCTTACATTTCTCTGATTGGTTAATCCGTCAATCAAACTGTGTAAAATCAACAAAATTCTAGACTATAAAATTGCATAAAGGACTTTCTTAGGGGAAAAAAACAACCTCAAAGTGCTAAATTTGTTTGGAGAAATGACAATATTCCCCATTTTTAAACCATTAGCGACGCGTCAGTTTCATTCTGTTTTTTTCCACTTTGTGCTGAACGTACCACACAGGCTGCCCAGGCTTCACGGTAAACAGGTACAAGTGGAACATTTGGAACACGACTGTTATCACCAAAACAAAAATAACATTTTAGAAGCTCTATTTTTATTTTTACAAGCCCGCAGACAGAATGTGCAGACAGACGTGTTTTTGAAGTTTATTTATTTATACACACACACACGCACACACACATTACCGTCAAAGTTTTAACACACTTCTTTTTTTTTTTAAAGGCACGTTGTGTAACTTTTTTGGCGGAAGGTCTGTCAAATGCTTTTCTTTGTCTGGAATGTTTCACAGTATGACATTAAACCTTTCTATCTTCATGGAGACCGAACCAGACCAAGTTATGAGTCAGATCTGTGGAGAGGCGACGCTACTCACAGTCAGAATGTTGCTTTTCAAAGTATTTTTGAGCAATAAAACTATCGATAATTGAATAAATGTAAGGTAGAGCTGTTTAATGCCATACTGTGGAATATTTTAGACAGCGCAATGACATATCCATAGAAACAAGCAGGTGACGAACCCCCAACTACAAAGTTACACAGTGCAACTTTAATTATTTTCATGACTATTCACATTGTATAAACTCACTGAAAGCATCAAAACTATGAATAAGCACGTATGTAAAGCTGTAGGAAATAAAAAATAAACTCAGAATAACTTTTTTTTTTTTTTAAATAAAGTCACTCTTTTGACAACTGACATTTTTTGACCCAGACCGTGGCACACCTTTGAAGTGAAAACCATTTCAGGAGACTTCATCAAGAAGCTCAGTGAGAGAAGGTCAAGGGTTTTGTGTCCGTGAACCATTCGTTCTTTTGGAATTCCATTAAGAACGAAAAATAAAATAAAATGAGAAAACAGTTTATTTCATTATTCCATTTTAGTGTCAAACAAAAAAAAAAAAAACAGATTTCGACCTCTATTTCCAGTATTTAGTTTAAAGTTGATTTCAAATAACTCCAATCAAAAAACAGTCTCGGTGCCTGTTTGAATTTTGATATTTTATTCTCTCTGTATTTTTTCCCCCGGAAGTTCTGCTGCTAGAAGGACCTCCCTGAAAAATCTTTGCAATTTTGTCTACAAACATGTCGTCTTCTTTTACAGCGTCGTGTTTACTTTCGCTTCTTAGAAAGTCTTTGTTGAACTCATGGCAATAGTTGACACTGAATACACAGCTGGCGCACTAAGCAGCAGAACGTCCGGAGCAAATAAATCAGAGAGAATAAAATATCAGAATTAAAATAGGCGCCGAGACTGTTTTTTGATTGATGTTATTTGAGATAAACTTTAAATTAAATATTGGAACTAGAGGTCGAAAGCTGTTTTTCTTTTTTTTTTTGTTTGACACTAAAATGGAATAATGAAATAACAAACTGTTTTTCGATTTTACTGTTTTTCACTCTTAATACAAATTCAAAAGAATGAATGGTACACGGACCATTTTGGCCTCATAATTCCCTATATCTTGCTTCATATATTTGATGTTTTCTGTATGTTTATAAAAAATATAGGAAGCATAAACTTAAAGGTGCATTGTGTAACTTTTCTGGTCAAATGGTGTTATTGCTTTGTCTGGAATGTTTCACAGTATGGCATTAAACCTTTTTGATCTTAATAGAGACCAAACCAGACCAAGTTACAGGTCAGATCTAGGGAGAGGCGACCCCGCTCAGTCAGAATACCTGTTTTTCTCTGTATTTTTGAGCTATAAAACCACCTGTAATTAAATAAATGTAAGGTAGAGCTGTTTAATGTCACACTGTGGAACATTCCAGGCAGAGCAATGACATATCCATAGAAACAAGCAGGTGACGAACCTCCAACCACAAAGTTACATTATTCACCTTTCAAATGAAACCGAAAACGTCCACCAAACTTCTTGTAGAGGTGCAAATGCAAGGAACAGTCAAGTAAAAGTGAAGAAAATGCGCACTCAGATGGCCGATGTCCAAAAGCTTCCACAGTATATCATTCTGTGGTCCAAAGCAAGAAAAGAAAAAAAATCTGATGAAGGCTTTTTTTTTTTTTTGGGCCAAAACACAATTTAAAAATTTAAAAAAAGCTTTTGGACATTGGCCATCTGAGTGTGCCATGCAGTTTTTCACTTTTACATAACGCACTTTTAACAAAAACCAACAAATGAGAATGTGTGTCCAAATAAAGCCCCAGTAATAAGCAATCCAAGTGAAGCATCTTGCCCAACAACACAATAAAAATATGAATGACAGATGCGAGAGTGACCCGGTTACCCTCCCGCTGTCGTGTGGAGACTCAACCCATTGTCGTCTTTGCAATATATTCTGTAACGGGAACATAATTTGGTGGATAGAAGACATGATTGTTGCATTTTATCAGTTTCATACATTCTAATTTAAATAAAAATAAAATATCAGAATGTTTAAATCGCTTCATTGATCAAGCCCCAAACAGTGTCCTCTCAATACAACAAAACAACAAAAACAGCAAACGCCACTCTGTTCAAAAGTTGCAACCTACCAATCTCCAACTTATTTACAACTGAAGCACTTTTATTTATTTTTTTTATTTTAGTTTGTGATGTTAATGTGTATATTTGTGGTGTACAGGGGAACCCACTGCTCCCAAAATCGAGGTCAAAGTTCACAACAAAGGCAACGCCCTGGAGGTCAACTGGTTCAAACAGGACGACGGCGGCTCCCCCATCAAGCAGTACCTGGTCCGGTACAAGGCTGTGAGTACTGCTGCCAAACTATATCATATTGAATACAGTAGAGTTGTACAGTTAAAGTCTTGTGAGTTTTGGGTGATTTTGTAATGTTACCTCGTCAAAAACATACCTGGAGTTGTGTTTTGTTTACATACACATCAGTATCTGGGTTATTAATATCCCAGTTATGGCAGTGTTCGGGATATGCTGTTTACCGCCGTGCTCCCTGTGTACATGATCAAATGGAGTATCCCGGTTTCTTGACATAATCTTAAAAATGTGCAAGCGCAAAAAGTTATATATTTAATAAAGCAGGAAAAATACAAGCAGTCATGAGCTCCTTTAACCAGCGGTGAGGAGCTATGACCCACTACGCCGATCAAACTGAATGTTTCCAAACACTATTGTATAAGTTCTCTGCTGCTGCAGATTATTAATTAAAATCTTCTGCACAAATAAACTCAACTTTACAACATATAAACCATAGCTACTCTATGTGAAGAATCCCTCAGTCGTCCAGGTAGAATCCATGAGGAGAAAATTCAGTTTGTCAACTGGACAAAAGTTAGTTTGGTTGAAGATGTTTCGCAGTTCATCCAAACTGTTAGAAGTTCTGGTCAGACGCTGGTGGACACTTTCTTATATCTGCAGGGAGGAGCTAAATAACTGAAACTAACACACCTACTTGTTTACAGTTTCTGTTTGTTAGTTTCTGTTAGAACCCAGGAGAAAGGGGGTAACTATTCCTTACATGGCTGGTGTTTCTGAAAAACTACAGAGAATTTTCAGACAACATGAGATCCCGGTCTATTTCAAACTTACAAACACTCTAAGACAGAAACTGGTCCAACCCAAAGGACCAAACACCAAGCCACAAACAAAGCAATGTGGTCTACTCCATTCAGTGCAGTGAAGACTGCAGTGAACGCTACATTGGAGAAACTAAACAGACACTTCACAAGAGGATGAACCAACACAGACGAGAGAGCAGCAGTGGACCTCAGTCTTCTGTAAAACTCCACTTAAAAGCCACGGGCCACTCATTTGAGGACAGCGAGGTACAGATTTTAGCCAGAGAAAAGAATTGGTTTGAGAGGGGAGTGAAAGAAGTCATTTTTGTTAAGAAAGAGAATCCTCCTCTAAACAGAAATGGAGAACTCAGACACCATCTATCTCATATTTACAACTCCATCCTCAAACCTAAATCTAAACAAACAAGAGAACAACAGGTGTAGTCAGGTCAGGTCCAGAGGTGTGGAAGCTCCATTATGACCATGAATTGATCTATTAATTAGACCCCACACCCTGTACAGGTCAACAGGCCGAACTAACAAACAGAAACTGTAAACAAGTAGGTGTGTTAGTTTCAGTTATTTAGCTCCTCTCTGTAGATATAAGGAAGTGTCCACCAGCGTCTGACCAGAACTGAAGAAGCAGCTTGGATGAGCTGCGAAATGTCTTCAACCAAACTAACTTTTGTCCAGTCGACAAACTGAATTTTCTCCTAATAGCTACTATAGAGCAAAATCAGTCCGTTAGATAATATGTTAATACAGTTTGGCCACATTTGTTTACACTTTATAGAAAGCTCTACAGCTCTTTCGTTGTGCCCTCATGTGGTTCAGCTTCTGTCAGACTAAAGGACACGACTCAGTGGAATATGAGTGTTCTTTCTGTGACAGAGGGGTGTTGATGATGCTGCTGGGTATCATTACGAAGTACAATACTATAGATACTTCAATGCATAGGCTACGGTAAAATACATACCTCGATACAGTGCACTTTCGATTTGATACGATATATTTCAAATCAATTTGATACGGTTCAATAAAAATAATAATAAAATAATGACTATGATACTAAAAGTCTTTGTTAAACCACTTCTTGTGCAAAGTTCATATGAAACACGAACAATTTCATCAACAAAACAGTGAAAATGTCAAATGTGTCACATAAATGAGCTTCCTTCCACTAAAAAACAACAAAACTGTAGCGCCGTAACAAAATAATTAAGTAAAATTTACCAAAAATTACTCTTGGTGATATATCGATACAGCAGCCCACGATATCAATACTGTTTCATCACATTGGGTGATACAATATACCGATTTGTCAATATATTTGCAACACCCCTAATGGTTGGAATTTCACAGCTACAATATCCTGGTTTCTTATAACTGGGATACTGGCTTATTCGGGATACTGAAACGGGGATAGTGTGAATACATGCACTATGACGAAACCGGGATACTCAAAAACCCAATCTTAACCGGGATATGGATGTGCATGTAAACACACTCATGGACACAAGTTTGAGTTATCTTGGTTTATTAGTCCACCTACATCCCCAACGCTCAAAAAATGCTCTGTTCCACATTGTGATGTCATGAAGCTGTAGTTTTCAGGTTTATAACTCCTTTTTAGCTTTTGTTTATTAGAGATCGGCAATTCCAGAGCTGAAATCATCCAAATCATTCTAGTGAAGGTGTATAGAGTTTAAAAACAAATTACATCACAAGGGGGAACAGAGTGTTTTCCATTTGAGAGAAGAACTCAGCCTAAATATGCAGGATTTCTGTGTTAAACATGTGTAAATGAAACAAAACACAACTCCAGGTCTGTTTTTGATGAGGAAACAACATTATAACATAGATCAGTAAATAATGTAATATACGCTCTTTAAATTAGAGGGCTTCTACAGATGAATTAGCAGATCAAAATGCAGATGTTTTGATCTTTGGCCACTCCACCGTTGTGTCGGACTACTTATTAGGAAGCATTTTACTGCCAAAATAATATCTTGCATTATTTTTGCCGATGTTTAAAATGCATCAGGACGTCTGCCTATAAAACTTTTGGTTGAGGTTTAAGTCTACCACAGCCGGGAATAGGCCATAAAACGAAGCACAAAATCTCACTTTATGCTCTTGTTTGGGAGATGACACCAGATGTGCCTGTTTTTGAGGCCCTTTAGAATAATGAAGTGGAAGTGAGAGCCACCTGTGTGATTGATGGTGATGAAACAGAAACTTTAAACCACACTTCGGAACATGGAGATTGAGCAATTTGATGTCATGCTGTGAAATATTATAGAGAAAGGAACTGCATTTCCATAGAGACAAGCCGGTCATATTTGTTTTGATACCACATGTGTCCAAGTATTAAAGTGTGTATTTTGGATCCCGGACAAACACAGTGCGCCTGTAATTAAAAACAATATTAAAGTGCCCATATTACGCTATTTTATGATCTATGTTTTAATGTTGTTTCCTCATGAAAAACATACCAGGACGTTGTGTTTTGTTTCATTCACACATAAACCTTGCATATGTATGTGGTCCACTGTGTTTTTAAACTCTATACACCACTGTCTCCCAAACTTTTTTTCTGGGGACCCATATTTTAAAAGTCACAAACCTACGCGACCCAAGTCAAAAGACATTATTCGTAAATCACAAAATAAAGGTGGATGTGACCATTATTGAGCATTAATGAGGATGAGGATATTATTTTTTTGAACAATTAGTATTACTCAAGTTTTACAATGAAAAACAGTCGTTGAAGCAGCAATAAAAGGATTCATAAGTCGCCTATTTGGACAATAAAGGGACAGTCCAGAATTTTGGACATAGGGCCTCATTTCCTAGTGAGCCAGAGTGTTGGAGACGTGTGGAGACACTTTTTGAAATATTCCATCCAGTTCTTGTATTTGCAGAGGTCGCTGGTGCTAGGCTAGTGCATGTCAATGGCCATAGTTAGCCTGACAGTAAAAACAGTCTTACCCACTCCACAAAACACCCGAAGAAAATCTATTATTACACCAGACTGTCCATGTAAATGTCTGTGTCGATAGAATCATTTCAGAAGTAAACCAACCTTGCATTTGAAGGATTTATGTCTGAGCAGCAGTGAGTTGTACTTCCTGATAGAAAGTTTGGCAGCGGCGGACTGATATATGAGAAAATAGTCCCACAACATGCAACGATTTATGTGATGCAAGGTTAGTTTTATTTCAAACATTATTCTATCAACACAGACATTTACATTGACAGTCTGGTGTAATAATACATTTTCTTCGGGTGTTTTGTGGAGTGGTCAAGACTGTTTTTAGTGGCAGGATAACTATGACCATTGACATGCACTAGTCTAGCACCAGTGACCTCTGCAAATACAAGAATTGGATGGAATATTTCAAAAAGTGTCTCCACACGTTTAAATGTAGCTCATTTATTAATTTTTTCAACATTCGATTGAACCAGCAATATTGAAAAAGAAATAGTCTTTAGAACTGTATATTGCAGAATTACATGCAAATTGTGACAAGGCAACCCCCCCAAAAATCTCTTGCGACCCAGTCTTTGTGAAACAATGCTATACACCTGCATGAGAATAATTTAGGTAATATCAGCCCTGGAATTGCTAATCTCTACTGAATAAAAGGTAAAAGACAGGTGTTAACTTCAAAACTATGGCTTAATGACAAGGTGGAACAGAGCATTTTGAGTTTTGGAGATGTAGAGATGTAATTACTACTCAAAGGATTACTCAAACGTGTGAATAAAACAACTTAACTCCAGGTTTGTTTCTGATGAGGTAACAAAGCTCATAAGAGTCAGTTTTGCGATTCTAATTTCAGCAGATATGACATACAGTACATCGAGGTAATTCCCAAACTGTTACCTGCGTCCTTTTAACTTTCCTCTTTCCCCCTCAGAAGCACACATCGGACTGGAAGCCCGAGATCCGCCTCCCCCACGGCAGCAAGTCCGTGGTGCTGCACGGGCTCGACTGGAACACGGAGTACGAGGTGCACGTATTGGCAGAGAACCAGCAGGGCAAGTCCCAGCCGGGGGTCATGTCCTATAAAACAGCCTTCGAGCCCACCACCGTGCCAGGTAACCACTCTGACCTCTGACCCCTCCGAACCCTCCGACCTCTCCAACCCACAACCCAAAACCCACCCCCATGTACGGCTACGCAGCTTCACTCAGCGGGAGGGGAGGGGAGAGGCAACCACCGGACCACAAAACTGCAAAATTATAGTCGAATTTAGGGCTGAAAACATAGACTGGGTAAAAGAAGTGGACTAAAGGCCGCCACACACTACAGGATTTTTTGTTCTTAAACAATTTTTAAACATGCGACCAAAAGGGCACAGGAGAATCTTATCAGACTTACAATCTCAGATAGCAAAGACTGCAGCAGGATCTGTCTGCGGACCACAGGATATAAAGTTCTGCTGTCTGCTGTTTTCTACAGAAGCCGAGAGGGGTCACAACAAACGCAAACGCCGCAACAAATACAAATGCGACAACACAACAAAAAGCCACAACAAACCAAAAAAAGCCACAATGGAAATGACCGCGGAACTCTATTTAAATGCAAACGCAGCAACAACTACAAACACAAACGCAAATGCCGCAACACATTAAAAAGCCACAATGAAAGTGACCGCGGGACTCTATTTTCCGACGGACCGATCAAGCGGCAAGTGAAGAAGAAGAACTACAACGTGAAACGAATTATGATAAAACAATAAATTACTTTTACTTACGTTTCCAACTTTTCCGTTCCTTTACTTTTCACCTCATAGTTCTTCTTTGCGCTTGTTGTGACCCCTCTCGGCTTCCGTAGTTTTCTGTCTAGATGTGTGTAAAATCATTCAGTCGTCCAGGTAGAATCCAGGGCAAAAGGAGAAATTCAATTTGACAAGTTTATTTGGTCGAAAACATTTCGCAGCTCCAGAACTGAAGTTGACAAATTGACTTTCTCCTTTTGCCTTTCCTGTCTACAGTAAAACCAGTCGCTTTGAGACTCTTAAAGGTTGTATAGAGGATTTTCCAAGGAACGAGAAATCCAGCGACTGTTTGTCCTTTTTCAAATGTTGCACATGCGTGAAACCACCCCCCCTCCCCTACAGCTCCCTACATAGAAACGCCTTCTCCCGCCTCCTCTTTACGCCAGAAACAGGTTTGTTTACAGCCGGTGCTGCACATGACTTGTAAACAACTAACTACAGTGTTGGTTAGGCAAGACGGAGAAGTGAGGAGCGGGGGGAGCGGGTGCGCGGACATTTCGTTCGCGGACGAGAAGTGAGAAGCAGGGACAAGAGCGGAGCAGGGAGAGAGGAGAGGGGAGCGGTGCGCGGAGATTCCGTGCCCGGAGAAGTGAGGAGCAGGGGGAAGAGCGGAGCAGGGAGCAGGGAGAGGAGAGAGGGAGGGGGAGCGGTGCGCGGAGATTCCGTGCCCGGAGAAGTGAGGAGCAGGGGGAAGAGCGGATCGGGCAGCGGGGACAGGAGCAGGAAAGGGGAGCAGAGAAGAGTGCGCGGAGATTCAGTGCGAATGAACTAGCTACAACACGCAGCAGCAAGCGGACTCTTTCTTTGCCTTGAAAATTACGTTTTCAGACATAGGATATCGCTTTCGTGTCCTGAAAAACGTTTGACTAGCTCTTGGAAATAAAGTACGTTTTCATAATAAGCAGAAGTGACCTGTCCAGGAGTAATTTGGCGACCAGTGCGTCAGTCTTTAGACCCTGCGTCTGCTTCAGTTGCGCCATCGCTGGAATGAATCTTCAAGAATCACCTTAGTTTGGCTTCGCTGCTTTTCCCCTTGTCTTCTTCTTTCAGCGACCTCAAAAACGGACTTTCTTTTGCGGCGAACTGCTCCTGGATTCTTGTCGCCATTGCAACAAACTTTGTGCTAACTGCGAGGAAGATATAGGTAAAAAAAGCTGCTAAGAACTGTTGCGTTGGTGGAGTAAACAGCGTCTGTGCGTCTTGCGTCTGTGGACTGTGTGACAGTCGTACGTAAACCATGTACCGGCAGCGCGCAGGCAAGTCAGTTACGCTAGAAACGTAGGGAGTTTGATTGACAGCCTGTCAGCTCACAGATAACGAGGCAATGTCATTATCTATTGGCAAATGTTTAGCCCCACCACGTCCAGAGTTGATGAATTTTTATTCTCTTTTTTTTGGTCATCATAATTACAAGGCGACTGCACCTCTATAATGCTATCATTGACAACTTGAAACAAAAAAAACAAAAAAAAAATCCTCCATACAACCTTTAAGTGTTCAAAAGATCAGTTTAGATACAAGTCAAAACTGTGTTATTATTACTTGTGAAATGTGGGGCAAAACTTCAGATACATGATTTTTAAAGCATAAAAGATTGACGGTAAAGTTCACAGGAAGTAGAGTCACTATCGCAAATCTGCAGCTTCACCTTGATCCGTGCGGTGTGGATGTAAACAGACACATGTGAGGAACTACTCCCACCTTTTTACTTTCAAATATTGTTTTTTCCGCACTATTAGGCGCTCTGGATTATAAGGCGCACTGTCATTGAATGGTCTATTTTTGAACTTTTTTCACAAATAAACCGCACCGAACTTTAAACGAAACACAACAGTTGGATGGCTCAGTCAGTCTTTGTTTGTCGCGTTCACAGTGACTCTGGGCTTTGTTCAGTTGTGGCGTGTAGGGAGGGTGCTGTCTGGAACCGCTGGATTATCGGAGTGTTCGCAGTCACTCAGTTGCTCAGTCGTGTCTAGAAGTGGCACATTGCACTCGCTTTTTCGGTTCGTTCCTCCATTCCGTTCCTCGTCGGCGTGTAGTGATGAGTGTGGCTGAGTGCTTTGTAGTTTACTGAAGTCGTACTGGGACACCCAAGTGGATTCGTGTATAGGGTGCTCTAGATTGTGAGGCGCGCGGTCGTTTCTTTGATGGGGTTGGAGACTTAAGAGCGCGCCCTATGGTGTGGAAAATACTGTAATGCCTCAAACTCGATTAATAGCGCAGTTTTGTCATTATTTGTGGAGGACAATTTCTATAGATAATGTGGACGAGATGCTGCACTTTAAATTTACCACTTTACGAGCGTTGAGTAATAAAGTCTTCTCAATATTTTCGCTATATCCCAAGTTTGTATTTTGCGCCTCTGTGTTCGTCACTCCGTCTGACACTTTTATTGGCTGTTACCGTAATGTTGCTGATGTTCGGAAGTTACGATCCGACACTTGACACTGCAAACACGAGGAGCGCTGCGACTTCAAAATCACACGAAGACACAAAGTCGGGTCACGTCTACCCGAACTCTGGAAGAAGAAATCGCAGTCAAAATCGGGCAAATTTTCCTGTAGTGTGTGGCAGCCTTTAGGGAAAGAAACATCACCCACAGTGTTCAGACGCAACCAAACGAAGCTCATCGAGGCCAGCAGTTATAGCGACGAATCTGCCATCAGTCCTCGCTGGTTTGACGATCCGGTCGGGTTTTTTGCAACATGGTTGTCAGTCATCCTGTTACTCAAGACTTTGGGGAAAACAGGCACTGGATTGGTCTGATATTAAAGGTGCGTTGTGTAACTTTTCCGGTGCTTTCCAAATGCTTTTCTCATTGGAGATGTTATTGTTTTGTTTTGTTTTGTTTCACAGTATGACATTAAACCTTTCTATCATCATGGACACAAAACCAGACCAAGTTACAGGTTGGATCTGTGGAAAGGCAACCACGTTCACAGCCAAAATATTAGTTTTTCTAAATATTTTTGAGCTATAAAACCACCTGTAATTGAATAAATGTAAAGTAGAGCTGTTTAAAGTCATACTGTGGAACATTGAATGACAAATCCATAGAAAAAAGCAGGTGATGGACCCAGAAAAGTTACACCTTTAATGTTTTATCTCTTAATTTAGAGGCAAAAAAGCGAAACAAATTGGGGATTCTGACAGCAGCAGTTAAAGAAAGAGAGATGGGTGATTATATGGAGATAATGTAAATATTGAGGATTACTAAAAAACAAAAGCACATTTTATTTTATTTTGAAAGTCCCGGTGGTCGCGGTGAGCCTCTCCTCTGTATCCCGCTGGGTCGAGGGAACTCATTTTGGGCTCCATCCCCATTATGCTAAACCCGAGCGTCTGCCTCTCCCTTAATCCCTGTCATCTTGGCTGTTTTATTTTGTAATTTAAGCAGTATTTTTGTTTGTTTGTCTGGCAACTACTTCTACTTGTTGTACTACTTACATTTACTACTCAACCTGCAACGAGCCGCTCAAATCATCGACTCCGTGTTCAGATTGATGGATTTATTTTCTGAGGAATTTGAAATAGCCAGTGCCAGCCTTTCTCTCCGTCTCTCTCTCTCCTTTATTTCCTCTTTCTTGCTTTCTCCTCTTCTCTCTCCATCTCCTCTCCTCTTCTCTCTTCCTCTCTCCCCGTCTCTCTTCCTCTCTTCCCTTCTTTCCTCTCCTGTCACCTCTTTCTCTCTTTGCTCTTACCCTTCCTTTCTCTCTCTTCCTCTCTCCCCACCTCCTCTCCCCGTCTCTCTTCCTTCCCTTCCCCTCCTGTCACCTCTTTCTCCCCTTGCTCTTACTTTCACTTTCTCTCTCTCCCTCCTCTCCTCTCTTCCTCTCTCGCTTCCTCTCTCCCCCCTTACCTTGACCTTCATGCTCCCACCATTTTCTCCTCTTGCTCTTTCCTCCCCTTTCTCTTTCTATTTCTCTCTCTCTTTCCCTTCTTCTCTCTTCCTGGGGATCCACCTCCTCTCCTCATCTCTCTTCCGCTTTCTCTTCTGTGCCCCCTCCTGTCTCCTCTTTCTCTCCGTGCTCTTTCCCCTCCTTTCTCTCTCACACTCTTCCCCTTCTTCTCTTTTCCTGGGGATCCTCTCCCCCATCTCTCTTCCTCTCTTTCCTGACCTACCTCCTGTCACTTTATCCCCTCCTTGCGCTCAACCCTCCTCTCTCTCTCCCTCCCCCTCTCTCTTCCTCTCTTCCCTTCTCTCCCCTTCTGTCTCCTCTTTCTCCCTTTGCTCTTACCCTTTCTTTCTCTCTATCTCTCCCTCTTCCTCTCCCTCTTCCTCTCTCCCCACTCCTCTCCCTGCCTCTCTCCCTTTCT